ATTTAAAAATGTATTTATTTTCTTTTTAATTATGTGTATGTGTGTGTATCTGTGTGTGGGTATATGTGCTCATGAATGCAGGTGCCCATGGAGGCCACAGGCATCTGATCCCCGTGGAGCTGTAGTTACAGTTGGTTGTGAGTTGGCATGGGTGCTAGGAACCAAATCTGGGTCTCTGTTTTAAAACTTCTGCACAGCAGGTGGAGTGATATCTCAGATTTACATTCTTTTAACTCCAATCCTGCACTGAAATTGTTCAAAATTTCTATTCCACTGGTAACATCATTGGCTTTCTGTGAGTGCATGCATGTGTGCGTGCTCTAATTGAGTATCTAAAATCCAAACTGGTCCAAAATCTAAAGCTGAGTGCTGACAATGATTCCACACATGGAAAGTTCCAAATATGACCCCATGTGGCAGGCCACAGTCAAAATTCAGGCATACTTTAAAAATGTGTAAAATTACCTTCAGGCTGTGTTTATATGAAAAACAAATGAATTTCATGTTCAGATATTTCATTAGGTGTATCCAAATATCCAAAATCTGAAAGAAAAAAGTGCTCTCATTTCCAACAAGAAATGTTTTGAATGCCTGCTTGGCACAAGTTTTAAATGTCTGCTATAGACAAGCGACATTATCATAGGGCAGTTTTATCTTTTTGGTTTTTGTCTTCTGTTTTTGTTTTTGTTTTTGTTTTTGAGACATGGTTTCACGTATCACCAGCTGTTAAGAATGACTTTGACCTTAGGATCTGGCCTGCAACTCTCAAGTGTTGGGATTACAGGCCTGCACCTCCACAACCAGTTTATCTGGTGCTGGGGATCGTATCAAGATGGAGGGATATTAAATAAAGTGGTCGGGGAAGGCTTTACTCAGTAGACGAAATTTGAACAAAGATCAGATGTTCTAGGGGAACGTGATCCAAGCAGAAGGAACAGCACTGTTGAAGTGGAGGGTCTTCATCGTGGGTTTTCAAGGAACAGCCTTCTTAAGAAGCCAGTGGGTTGAAGTAGAGACAGAGGGAGAATGCAGTCAACAATGAAGTCAGACCAGGCATTGTGGCTCCAATCCCAGCACTCACGAGGCTGAAGCAGGAGGACCACAAGTTCTAGGCCAGTCTGGACTATAGAGTGAAACTCTGTCTTTAAACAGTAAACAAATCCACACTGCTGTCAGAGAAGTAATGACATGCAGTGCAAGTGTGAGGTGGGTGTCTAACTAGTTCATATATTCTCAGTGAAGCCATGGTGAGACTGTTCATTAGTACACTAGCACTCAGCATCCTCCGTTAGAACATGTAGATGTTCTGTTGAATTTTCATTGCCAGTTCAGTCAATTATTCCATTATAAGATTCTACTTTAGCTTTTCATTTATTGAAGTGGTTGAGACAATGTATCACCATATATCTAACTTACACACTAAAACTTTTTTTGTGGGGCTGGAAAGATGGCTTAGCAGTTAAGAGCACTGGCTGCCCTTGCAGAGGACCTGGATTCAGTTCCCAGCATCCAAATGACAGCTAACCATCCTTAACTACAATTCCAGGGGATCTGAGGCCCTCTTCTGGCCTCCTCAGACACCAGGTATGCATGTGGTGCACTTACATACATTCAGGGAAAATATTCATACACATAAAATAAAAATAAAATCTTTTAAAATACAATAATTTTTGTGTCTTACTAGCAAAGAAAAAAAAATTTTTTTCAGAGCTGAGGAATGAACCCAGGGCCTTGTGCTTGCTAGGTAAGCACTCTACCACTGAGCTAAATCCCCAACCCCTTCCAGCAAATTTTTAACCCAGAATCTGACAGCAAATAAGTTATAGGTCTTCTAAAATAATTAGCCTCAAAAATAAAGATACTAACAGGATGAGAAATAAATTTCTTATTTCTATTAAAGTATGTCAATACCTAGAAGCAATAAAAGATATAAATATGTATACCAAATAAATCAAAGTTACTTGAAATAGAAATTTTAGCTATGCATTATTTTTTTAAAGTACACCAATGGAAACAAACCATAATTTACTGATGATAAATGCTTTTTACAATGTGTATATTCCAAGAATATGAAACATCAGCATCTTCTGTTTTAAATCATCAGGTTACACCAAGGGGACTAAAAATGTTCAGAACGCTTGGGTAAGAAAATCAACTATTTGTAGTTGCCAGGAGAGGACTACATCACATGCTACATCTCTGTTATCTTAAATGGGCTGGTTTTGTAGTAATCTTATAAATGTAGTAATCTTTTATTTAACACATTAGTTAATGTCAGAAAATAATATTCGCTTTCATACTTGCTGCATTCAAGTATGTTTGCAAAAATGACATTTGAGGGAGACTTTGAGTTACAAATAATCACAACAAATTCAGGTTTCACCACCATCACACACACAAACACACACACATTCAAACCCTTCAACCAAGCAAGTGGGCAAGAAGGGGAGACAAAATATAATTGCAATAAAAATATTAAATACTGTATTATATTTCTTCTAAAATCTATATCCTCAAATTAATATGCTGGCCTAAATTTTGTATTTATTTGGGGCTTTTCCAAAAGTCTTAGTATTTTCAGGGTATTTCCAAAAGTCCTACTATTTCCCTGGATTTCAATTCCAATCACAAACCAAAACATTTTTAAAAATTAACCTCAAATAAATGGAATTTTGTCATGTGCTCTGGTGTTTTGCTATAGTTCAGGTTATGAGAAGGTTTTCTATTTCTTTTCAATGTTTAGAAGAAATGATACTTGGGCCAGGCATGGTGGCGCATGCCTTTAATCTGCAGAGGCAGGCGGATCTCTGTGAGTTCAAGGCCAGCCTGGTCTATATAATGAGTTCCAGGTCAGCTGGGGCTACAGGGAGACTCTGTCTCAAAAAACAACAACAAAAAATTAAATTAAAAAGTAAAATGAAAATAATGAAGCCAGGCACGCTTATGATCCCAGAACTTGGTAGGCTGAGACAGGTGGATCCCGAGTTCCAGGTCAGTCTGGTCTATATAGCAAGACACTGCCCCAAAAGACAAAATAAAATAGTAAAATAAAACAGTGAGGTGTGAGTGATCTCTCCATGAGAAGAGTATTAAACACACAATATGTGTGACCCATCATTGCCTTACATAGCAAAAGACTGAATTACATCTATTGATCTGCTATGGATGCTAAAAACTACTACCATTTAAGGTTAAATGATACTAAAAGTACTTCTGGAAATGATATAATGTAGAAGATTGCACTATAATGACCTCACTACAGGAAACTAAAAAGCATACATACTTTAGACTATGAGCAAACTATAGCAAAGCTTCATGTGACAACATTTAATGGCTGAAAGCTAAGAAGCACACAGGGGGATGTGTTCAAATCAATGCTTCGAAGTGAATGGTGAAAGCTCTCCATTAGGCCTTTCCAATGTTGATCACATTGGTCTCTGAGAAAGGGATTCTGCCTGGGTTGGGGTTTCAAATAGTTCATGGAACACTCATTATATTTAGGCTGATCTTCAGTTATAAGTAAGAGTTCAAGGCATTACATGTGATACCATCTTGTCAAATTATAAGCAAAATCAAGACACAATTTGCATTTATCACTTCTAATTTTTGTCCATGATGGCATAAGAAAGTCTGCTTTTCTAAATCCACAGATATATACATGTATACTTTGCAACTTATATATGAAATACTTAAGAGCACAAAACTTTCTAAAATAAAATCTGAATGAAAATCAAATTTTCTATGTCATAAAGGATGAGTTGAAAACTACCAAATAACATTTTAATTGCTATAATTTAAAGTACAAGTTTTGTTAAAGAAAAAATTCAATTATTTATTTTTATGGTGCTGGTCCTTGAAGCAAATTTACAATGTGCATAATTCAGTTTTGCTAGTATGGATACATTAAAGAAAAAGAAAATGATTTGGTCTTTTGCCAGAGATAAAAACTATATACCATTTTGAACCTCCTAACAATGTATTTAAAATTTCTTATATATTTAAAACTTTTCTTTCCTAAAAATGTTTTCCAGTAGAATAACGAACTATAAAATAGATCACTAAAGAAATCACATCTTTTTTTTTTAATTTGATGTGTATGAGTATTATGCCTGCATGTATGTACATGCACCTGTGTTGTGCAGTGCTCACAGAGGACAGAAGAGGGTGTCAGATCCCCTGGAACTGGAGTTACAGATGGCTGTTAGCTGCCATCAAACCCTGGAAGGATTTAAACCCTGGTCTTCTGCAACAGCAGTTTTAACGGCTGAACAATTTCTCTACCACCACCCCCCACCCCACCCCCCAACAAATCACATCTTAAAAAATGATCTTTCACTAAAGGACATTTTCTTAGAGATCCTAGGAGACAAAAATATTATGACAGGTGATCTGTAAACAGAATGCTGAGCACCCAAGATTTAAAAAAAAGAAAAAAGTAGCACTGTCTCCCAATTGGCTAGTTTCTCCAAAGTGCGGGGCCTGCTGTGGAGTGTGTACTACTGGGGGGCTGCTGGAAGCCATCTTGGAACAGAAGCCAGCACTGTGGGGAAGCGCAGGAGCCATGGGAACGGGAAGCTTGCGCAGCAGCTCAAGGACAGAATGGCCCGATGCTTATGGACCTGAGGTGAGATCTCTAGCCCCTGAGGCAGGAGCAAATGCTAGCAGTGACTATGGTAGTCTTGGCGCAGTCTGATATGGCAGGCTCCAAGCTGTGCCGCCAGAGACGTGGGGCTAGGCACTGGGTACTCATTCCTTTGTAAGTTAATAAATGCACATAAAACTCATTCCTTTATAAGTTAATAAATACACATAAAATAAATTATGTGGTCTGTCTGATCATGCAGAAGACCCAGAGGGAATTCGGGCTACAAGCACCTAACTAAAGACTCATAAACCATAACACTAAAGAGCATCTGTACAACCATTTTAAAAATAAAAAAGGTACACACCTAATAGAACAAATTTAAAATCAAAATGAAAATTCTGTTTTTGTAAGAGTATTTAAAACTAATAGGAATATTGCGACCCTATAAAAATGTTTATATAGGCCTTAATTATGGTACTCTTTGGGGAGGTTGAAGTATTATTTTTAACCTTAAAAATATCTTTACAAAAAATTTTACTTCACTTTCAAATAGTAAGTCAATTAGCACTTCAAAGGTTTTTCTTTCATGAAAGCAGGTGCTAGAAAACACTAAACTACAAGGCTTCATTAACTGACTTATTCTTCTATACCCTAATAATGATTTTAAGTTTAAATTTTGCCCTACACAAATCAGTGATTGCTAACATACCATTTTCTTTTAGTAATTCAAAGAAATACTTAGCTAGACATTGCAACAACAAAGAAAAGGTAAGAACCTAAAAATTTATTCATATACTAGCTCAGGACAATCAAATTAACTTCCATTTCCATTTGTAAAAAGCGGTACAAAAGGAAAGTTTTACTCAAATTTCTCCAAAACAGAGGCAAGATGGCAGAGGCCGATGCAGAAGTCCCGTGTGTCATCATCTGCTAGGGTGCGGCTGCGGAAATGCTGCCCCTTTCCTCTACAGGCACCCTGTTGCATTCATTCCTCTCTCTGGCCCCTCCATAGGTACGAAGCTGCTCCATGAAGCCGGGATTTGGACATATGGAAGGCCTTGCATCTTTCACCAAAGAAAAAGCGCTGGCAAAAGACATTTCTTCAGAATTCATCAGGAAACCGATGACAATTGAAGCAGCCCTGGAAACCCCTGCATTACAGTGTACAAGAACAACCCCATCCTGCAACAAATAAACAAAAAAAGTTTTTGCTTTATTCACCTGAGAAGAGTTATTAAATCAATTGCATATTCTTAATATGACTTAAATTCTAAAATAAATATTTTGTCTATTTATGAGAATATATTTCATGGCAAACAATAAGTGCAGTATCAATCACCCAACCTCTGCTCTCTTCCCAGACTGAAATGCTCTGACAATGGGTTTGGAATTCTGAAATGGTATGTTCTACAAACTCAAGTGATCAGGCCAAGTACACATAAAAGCCTAGTAATTAGTAGCACATGTAGATAAATAAGAGAAGAATCAGAATACACCCATGGAAGCACGAGGAAACCATAACCATAAACCATAAACAGAATGCCAGAAAGATCCCAGGTGCACATAAAATTCCTAAAAGTAATTGGTGTCCCTGGCTTGGAAATGTATCTACAAAATGGTCAGCAAAGAAAAAAATTACTGCTGGAACTATTTTATTATGTAAGGAAGTAAATTAAAAATGCTTTCAACTAATGAGTTAGTAAAATGATGACAATGAATAGCTTGTAATGATATGAAGAGTAAAGGGGAAGGATAAACAGTCATGAGGCCAATAAATGAAAAATGTCTCAGGTAACTTGTAAATGATACTTTCCAAGTGAAAAGGGATGCACAATGCAAGATGGATGCTGATGGGGGCAATATTGCATTACTAATGAATGGGATAGATCTGATGAAACAGCACTGATACAGCTTGGCCTATTGCAGGCTTTTAAAAAGTTAATGACCTAAATGAAATACAAGGAATGGAGCACACACCACAGAATTAGATATTTAAGTCACTTTATTTGGAAAAAGACTGGATTATTGGAAATCCTATATACCAAGCACACATTAATATGATGGTTGTTATGAGTCACTTGACTGTTTTCCTTTTGCAAGGCAATTGGCTCACATTCATATATCTGCAGTACAATTGTTTCTTGATTCACTGTAACAAATTTGCAAACACATCTCTTTTCAAGAATGATAAGCAATAAACCTAGTTAATATTTTGAAAATCTCACATCAAAAAGACTGCTTCAATTGTTTTCTTATAGACAGGTATTACTCATTTTCAAGCTTTTGTATCTGTCCAAGGAAAGCAGAGCATCAGTATTCACTATATATATCGAGAATTTTCCTCAGTTTATTTTTTGTGCTTTTTTTTTGTTTTGTTCTATTTTTCTTTTTGTTTTTCTTTTTTTTTTTTTAAGTCCTTTAAATTAAATTTGCACATTAGGCCAGGTGTGGTGGCACACACCTTTAATCCCAGCACTCAGGAGGCAGAAGCAGGCAGATCGTTGTGAGTTCAAGGCCAGCCTGGTCTACATAGTGAGTTCAGTTCAGGTGGAACTACAAGGAGACCCTGTCTCAAAAAGACAAAAAAAAAAAAAAAATTGCACATTAGGCACTACTCTTAACTCTGAGCTATATACCCAGCCCTCCTTTTTTTAGTTTTGAGACGGGGACTTATTAAGTTGCCAGGGCTATAATGAACTTACTCTGTACCCTAGGCAGAGCTTGAACTCTTACCTCCTGCTTTAACCTATTTTTCTCATTTTTTAGCAACAGCTAATTTTTTATGGCTTAAGATGTTTAAGAATTATAATAACTTTAAATTAATGTACATTGTTTAATTTAAAAAATTAATGAGATCACAAAGAAACTTTCAATCATAAGCTTAATAAGCAAGAGATTCCTTTCAACATCATTGTTAATATTTCCAGGCTATCTACTAGTCATCTGTATTTTATGATGCATACATATTGCTTTGAAAATGGAAGCACCTGCTGGGTGTGGTGGCTCAAACCTTATCTCGGCACACACCTCTCAGGCAGAGGCAGGCTGATCTCTCTGAGATCAAGGCCAGCCTGGCCTACATAGTGAGTTCCAGGCCAGTTGGGACTATAGGGAGACCCTGTCTCAAAAAGGCCGAGAGAGAGAGAGAGAGAAAGAGAGAGAGAGAGAGAGAGAGAGAGAGA